GGTTTTTCAGCTGCTACTGGTGGAGTTATGGCTACCCCCAGCTCCGTAAGAGTTTTGGCATTTGGATCTGAGGTTTCCGGATACCTATAATGGTACTCGTTTCCACTTCTTGTAGCAAAAACTTCCTGTTCTCCATCAGAAAGTGATAAAGCTGCTATATCCTCATCGTTCTTCTCGGGAATCGCCGAGGCTCCATAGCAGGACTTCTCCTTTCCCTTGCCTTTTGACTTCTTCTTTGATGTGGGTGTCGTCCACTGTTCATCTTCAAGCAAATCCGGATGAACCCAAAGGATTTCGCCGTTGGGGGCTGTGTGAGATACGAGCCCCTTCTGGCGCTGTCCATGAGGGTCATCGTTGATGGTTTGCATCTTGACCTTTGATACTGGCTCGGCTTGAAACCAGGACAAAGGAACCGATCCGAAGCTAATAGAGACCGCGTTTGCGCCTACCTTCTTCTCCTTTGGCTTCGGTGTCACAATACCAACATCAATCAATGTTTGAATTTTATCCTTTAAAACATAACATGTCTTAGTAGGATGGTGGACCCTTCTGTGATATGCACAATACTTTGGGTCATTGATCTTCGTTGCTTCTTCTTGGTTTGTGACCGGTGGAAGCTTGATCTTGTTGTTCTCTAACAAGTATTTGAAGATGACCGGAACTTCATCATCTTTGAAAGAGTATTCCTTTGGGAATCTGGGCTCAGAATTCTTAAACTGCTTCGAAGGCTGTTGATTCTGGTTTGGCGCCAACTGGAAGGATGATTGTTGCGGTTGTTGCGGTGGCTGTTGTGACGTCTGATGTGCGTCCACAGCGGCTACAGACCCTCTTCCTCTGCCTCGAGGGTTAAAGTTCTGCTTTTGATTTTGATTCTGATTATTAGCTGGTGGCAAACCTCGCTCCAAATTCTTTCTCTTGAGGAAGCGTTCAGCTTGTTCACCTCTTACTTTCATCTCTTTCCAAGTTTTAGAGGGAACAACCCCCACCACTTCTAATACATCCAAGGACAGATTATTATGACATGTTTGCAGAATAAATTCCTCAGTGAGTGGATCTCTGCAGTTCACCGCTTTGTCCCGGAATCGTTTGACAAAGACATCAACCGATTCCCCATCCTTCTGCTTCTCATCCAACAACGTGCCGATCGAGACTTCCGTGTCGTCGTCGAAGAAATTGGTGAGGAATAACTCTTCCATGTCTGCCCAGCTAGTGATACTCCCAGGCTTAAGGCGTCGGTACCAATCGAAGGCAGGCCCGCGAAGGGTTCCTACGAATGACCGGACCATCAGGGCTTCGTTCCCAGATATTGCGCCGAGATGCGACTTGAAATAGATCAAGTGCTGAGTTGGTGAACCCCTGCCATCAAAAGGAGTAAAGTTAATCAAATTAAATTTCTGGGGATAAGGAATCAGGTCCCACTCCCTCGGGTACGGGTATGGGATGCCCGTTTTCTTCACTTCTTGAGCCGTCATCAAAGCGTTGACTTTGCTCTCAAGATCGTGCATCTTCTTGTCCTCTTCCTCGCTTTTCTTCAAATAGATCTGTGGAGGTTGAGTGGCTGACTTGGTCGGATCGCTTCCGGAGTTGTCTTTATCTGGAGGAGGATCTTCAAATATCGTCTCATCCTCTTCATTACGCCGACTGGATTCTGCTCTTTGGCTTGATTCCGGTTGGTGTTGCTGAACCTGCAAATCCCGCATCTGCTGCATAGTCAACTCCATTTCGGTTTTGAACTCAGCTCTAATTTCTTCGCGTTGTTTAGCCAACGCTTCCTGCAGCATGTGAGCCAATTGATCTGGCGTAATTGCAAATGATTCTCTGGCTTGTCCAACACTGGATGTGGTGTCGTCAGAAGCGACAGCAGAACAAGTGTCTGATAATTCTTCGTCCGAAGATAACCCCTCGTGCATTCTCTTGTAATCTCGTCGTAGGTTGGCTCTTCTTTGTAATCGCGCCATCCTTTGAGAAAGACCCTGCTCAACTCTCCCTCCCGGAGAGAAATCAGGGTCGGGGTTAACTAACTGTTTCTTTCCTTTGTTGGTCATGTTGATAGTGACCTCAGGGAATTCATCTCGTTGGATTACAGATTTTTTCTTGTTGAAACGTCTCATTTTGGGTTTTGACGCTTCATTGGACAATCTTTGAAATACGGAGACTCTTGTTGAATTATTCTTAGAGCATCCGCATTCTGTCAGCACTGCTTTGATGAGTCTCTCGCAAGCGCAATGGGACTCATTCTCTCGGACAATCCTCTTTCTTAAATTCTTCTTCTGATAGTACAGCTCGTCATTATTGTGATTCGAGCAACCTATCCTTTGCCTCTGAACTTTGTTAACATACATAGGACGACTGGTCGTCGCCTCTGAGCGATCCAAAGTTGAATTTTTGAATCCACCCCCTTGCGGGAGTGGAGTTTTCATAGGTCCTAAACGAGAGTGAACTGGTATTCTCTCGTTCTGGACTTGTGAGGTTCTGACAGGTGGGTGTTTACGACCCCCTGCATATGAAACCACTATGGGTTTATTTGCAGCATCTGATGGTTGTTTAACTGGGGCTTTGCCTCGATCGTCAACCGAAGGACCGAGGCGATCTGCCATTGTCACTTTAAACTTAGACAAATCTGGGCTAACCCAGGGTTTCACCGACGACGCAGTAGATGGGCCCGGAACAGATGCTTGCGGCGTCTTTGGCATCCAGACTTTACGATTCTTCGGTGACTTTTCAGACACTGTCTCTTTCTTGGTTCCTTGCGCTTGTTGACGAAGAGCGCGAGTTTGGGCAGCCTTCGCCTTACGCCTCTGTATCCGTTCCTTGAGGGTTGAACGGGCCCTTTTGACGAGAGTCCACTCCTCCGTCGTAAGTTTTGCAGAAATACAATTATTTTGCCGTTGGGGCAATTGAACCGCTTTCTGTTTCCTCGACTCTAGGTCCGCATAGTAATGGACCCCGTCGGTTTGTTGCATGGCCTTAGCCAATTGTCGAGCACGGCGCTGACGCTGTCTCTGACGAGCTCTTTTCGTCAGCACCGGTGAGCTATTGATCAACGACTCCGTAACTGGTGTAGAGTCGTTTTGAGCAGGGACGTTGCAAGGAGATTCCTTAACAACGATCGAGCCAGAATCTTTGTCTGCGGCCTCCGTTGGAATTGCAGACTTGAAAGTTTTCGAAATCTTCCTATATTTGCGAGACGAGGAAGATTTCGCGGATGAGGATGATAAATACTCCTCAAACTTCGCCTGATCGAATTCGTATTCGATCTCTTCATTGATGATGATCTTGATCGGTTGCGACACCGCGGTCTCGGCAGCGAGACCGCTGGCTCCCACTGTGGTCGCCAGCTTGTTTGGTTCAAAAGTCGCTGCTGTGGAATTCATTATAACTTTGTTCGATTACAACAAATTCGAAAGAATAATCTTTTTATAAGACTTTTTCTACACAACAAAACAAAAATTACAACTCTTGAGAAACAAACACGAAAATCGTCTATCAATTCTCGTTTTCGTGGGACTTTGCCTGTGCCGGGAACGCTTTGGTTCGTGGACCGCCGATTCACAGATCGTGAAGAGGGGGCTTATGATTCTAACTTCGTTATCGAAGTAGAAATTGAAACGATATCTTATCGAAGTAAGATAGTCGTTCTTCTTAAAATCAAGTCGAAGCTTAATTTCAAGGCGTTGCAAGAAAAGAACTCAAATCTCTGCTCTCTCTGCTCTGGAATGCTCTAACAAATGCTCGATCCTCGTCAGAAGTGACCCTAGGGGGGTATTTATAGCCTCAAGGGTCAGTAACTGCAAAAACTTAACAATCGAAGAAGTCAGTACGGCGAGACAGTGTTTACTGTCTCGCTGGGCGAGACAGCGTTTGCTGTCTCGACCCGCGAGACAGTAAATTTGCTGTCTCGCTCAGCGAGACAGTAAATGCTGTCTCGGAAAATGGCAGTTTCTCGCTGTAACTGTTCTCTCACGTTTCAAACTCCGTTATTTTGGCAGTTATCCACGTGATTTTCGCCCATGATGTTTCCCACGTCCCTTGGCAGTTAATGGACACGTGTAGGGCAGTGGTCTCGGCAGCGAGACCGCTGGCTCCCACTGTGGTCGCCAGCTTGTTTGGTTCAAAAGTCGCTGCTGTGGAATTCATTATAACTTTGTTCGATTACAACAAATTCGAAAGAATAATCTTTTTATAAGACTTTTTCTACACAACAAATCAAAAATTACAACTCTTGAGAAACAAACACGAAAATCGTCTATCAATTCTCGTTTTCGTGGGACTTTGCCTGTGCCGGGAACGCTTTGGTTCGTGGACCGCCGATTCACAGATCGTGAAGAGGGGGCTTATGATTCTAACTTCGTTATCGAAGTAGAAATTGAAACGATATCTTATCGAAGTAAGATAGTCGTTCTTCTTAAAATCAAGTCGAAGCTTAATTTCAAGGCGTTGCAAGAAAAGAACTCAAATCTGCTCTCTCTCTGCTCTGGAATGCTCTAACAAATGCTCGATCCTCGTCAGAAGTGACCCTAGGGGGTATTTATAGCCTCAAGGGTCAGTAACTGCAAAAACTTAACAATCGAAGAAGTCAGTACGGCGAGACAGTGTTTACTGTCTCGCTGGGCGAGACAGCGTTTGCTGTCTCGACCCGCGAGACAGTAAATTTGCTGTCTCGCTCAGCGAGACAGTAAATGCTGTCTCGGAAAATGGCAGTTTCTCGCTGTAACTGTTCTCCCACGTTTCAAACTCCGTTATTTTGGCAGTTATCCACGTGATTTTCGCCCATGATGTTTCCCACGTCCCTTGGCAGTTAATGGACACGTGTAGGGCAGTTACAAATGTAGTTTTGACTATTTCAACACTGTCTCGCTGGCGAGACAGCAAAGACTGTCTCGCTGGCGAGACAGTTCATACTTGTTTTGATTTTTTCAAAACAGTATGAAATCCTTTCTTGTGAATTTTTGAATGATCTTATCTATGCTTGGGATATCTATTAGCATTTTTTGATGCCTACACTCTCATATTCACCAAAAATTTTGTGCGCATGCGATATTGGCCTGTTTTAGAGTAGTCTTCATCTATTTCTGCACTGTTATTTCCTAATCAAATATCCTATTCATCTAGTATTAACTCGCACTTATTACATATTTGGTATGTCAATATATATGTGCACATGAATCTAGGCTTGTGCCAAATTCTCTATTCATTTTTTGAAAATGCAACAAGAAAATAAAGTTACTGCATTTTCTACTATCAAATTGTTGAAGCAATTCATCCTAAGTTGATTTCCTACCTTGGAGCTTGAAATTTTAGGCAGTTCCAATTATATCAGCAGCATATCTTATAATATGGTACATGCAAAGATTTATGAATTTGGATATTTTCTGTTGTATCAGTTACATGGGTGTATAAGCCCCTAGACTTATCCTACTACTAAGGCCGTGTCATGCAGAAGCATAATACGCTGTGATGTAAACCATGTTTCCGCAGATGATTTTTAGTAGACAATCTAAAATCTTATTGTGAGATATCCATTATCTAGATTAAATGCTTTTAGATTCCAGACTACTATTTGGCGACAATTTGTCCAATTGGTTTATTTTATGCTACAAAAAGTGGCTTATAGTTGATTTGTTCGCGAGAGATAGGCTATATGTCAGTCAAAGGTGACTGTCATTGGTATACCTTTATCCAACCTTGGTTAACTTCTGAATTTACTTAATTCTTTTTTCTTGTAGAAGCAAAGACATGGTCTAACCGTTTTTTTTGCAGGCTGGAGTCCAAATTGTAGATCCTGTGGTCGATGTGTTCAATGGACAAGAGGTGGAAGTGTGGCCTCTCATTTCATCCATACACAGCCAACTTCTAAATTTTTTTCTCTTTTGTGATTTTAGATGCCTTTGAAAGCGACAGAGAGGGATGTTTATGAATTCTTCTCGAAAGCAGGGAAGGTTAGTGGAATGAGTTACTTGGTCCTCTTATCACACAATAATATGAGGTTGATGATTGTTTTTAATTTGTTAGGTTTAGCTTCTTGTATTGACATTACACATCCATCTGAGAAGAGTGTTCTGATATTTACATGTATCATGCAACCACAGGTATCTGAGCTTACATAGTAGTACAAGTATACTTATCTCCCCTGCCCAGTTTATTATTTAAAATATTTCGTAACTTGTTATCTTATTAGGATTAAAGCTTTTGGTAGGCAATTCTCTATTTCAATATCTTCAGTACATACATTGAGATACACTTGCTTCTTATTGCAGTAAATGCTTCTGTGCCTTAAATGAGGCCTATTATAATGACTTTTTTGTGGCTCAACATTCTTTTATTTGGTGAGTGTGAAAAGAATTGGAAGTTTGATTGCTCACCATATTGGGTGCAGTCCTTAGGGTGGTGTTATGTGTAGTAAGCATGGCAATGCATTTTTAAGCTGCAAACTGTATAAGTATTACTTCATTAATGATGTTAGATTTACAAGCAATTAATTTATGGCTTCCAGGTTAGAGACGTGCGGCTGATCATGGATCGGAACTCGAGACGATCGATCAAAAGGAGTTGGGTATGTTCTCTTGTTCTTTAACTTGTTTGTTGATGCATTATAGCAAGGTTCTTAGACATGCTTCCATGAGGATGATCCTTCTAAAGTTATTTTGCTTGATTATTCTAAAATTCAGATAAGGAAAGAACATCACGTGATGGAGGTTTCAGGAAATAGTGATAATAAACAACTAGAATTTTCATGAATGTTGTAAGGCATAAAAGGTGATGTTTTGAAAAAATACAATACTTTGAACCACATATTTTGGGATCATTTTTTTGATAGATTTTGAGCTTGAGGTAATCTACATTCAGAAGCAGATGCAAGTAGTTTGATTTAATTCATGGCAGAAGAACAAAAGTGATAGTCTATATTATCCGTTGTTATCTACTACACTATCTTGACACAGATGTCAAAACTTTTAAGCATGTCCTACTCATGCATCATCTGGTTGCAAGCTGAGAAGCCTTTTTATTTGTTTTGGAACATGGCAGAACTTGTTAAAAAATGTTTATATGCTATTCTTAGTTGTTAGAGCACTCCCAACAATGTGTATTTTTTCTAAGCAGCCCAAAAGTGAAATCAACATAATGTGATATTCTTTTGAGCTCTCTTCTTCATTTATCACAAACGTTTCCTCAGCAATAGATGTTAACCTGTCCAATGAATTAGATCTGTTAAAAGGTTGCCCAGTGAATTAAAAAAAATCCCTTTGTAATTACTTTGGCATCAAGCTCTGTACAAGGCTAGAGCCTAGTTCAAATTTAATGAGTCCTCTTGTAGGCTGTCTAAAAATCACTGCAGATAGCTGATCCCCATCAAACACCGATGACGCATGTAATATTATGAGAACCTAATTAATGCTCGAGAAGTTATGGGAAACTTTGAGCATAGTTAATGTCAAGTTCATTTCACACTTACTATTTAACCACATGAAATTGGTTCTATAGATCTCCATTCTTCAACGATACCTTAGATAGCTTACCCTTTCTCTATTACCATGGTTTTGACTCATATGGCATGTTATTCCTATCTATCTTGCATAATAAGGGTCATACTTTCCGTTTTCTTTTGTGTTTCATGTTATTCCTATCTATCTTGCATAATAAGGGTCATACTTTCCGTTTTCTTTTGTGTTTCACCATTAAAGATGTCGATTTTAAATATAGAAGATTAAGCAGGAGACTGTCATTTGTTGTATCTGTAGAGGACATCATACAAAAGAGGCATAATTATTTTCTCGGCTGAACATTTTTTTTGTTTGAAGGATATGAAATATGAGCAGGAGCAACAACAACATCAACAATAACAAATGATGTCTCACTTAGAGTCACAAGTGAAAGCTATGCAGGAGATTTTTTTAGGCAGCCATCTTCATTGACTCCACAAACTCGAGAACATGTGCAGGACTAAGTAATTATTTATTATAAAATCTCTTATATATTTTTATGATTGACTACTTGCACTTGAGAAAATGAGATTTTTACTTAATAAGATAATAATTGCTTAATTGATATTTCTTAATTATGTGATTTTTTTAATTTTTCAGGTTATCCATGCAGGATTAGGAGAGGGGTAGCTCGAGTCTTCTTTTGACGATGATTAGAGATGAAAGAATGTGTCTTCCCCAAACTTTTATTTTAATTTGTTTTAGATAGCTTCACGTATTTTCCTTTAGAATAATTGGGATATTAACACTTGTTATTAGTGTTGAATATTTGAGAATGATGGAATTTTATTTATTGATGTTATTAATGAATGGAGTTTTTTATTTCTCTTTTATTCATTATTGAGTGTTTTTAATATATTTGTGTTGTGAATCTTAGTTTCATATTGAGAATAATATGATAGTTATCTATGAATGGAAAAATTATCATTAATATAAATTAGAAATTTGTAGTCTATAATGACGGTTTTATAAACAACGTTTTGTTTATCAACGAAGGGAAAGCACCATCGTTGATAGGTTACTAATTACCCACCATGAGGACTTTTACGACGGTATCCAACCATCATTAATTGGCCTTTAATGACGGGGTTGTCACCCGTTGTTACACAATAATAACGGGCGTACAAACCATCATTACACAATAACAACGGGAATGAAAACCCGTCATTTAAAGTAACGACGGGAAAATATCCCCGTAACTAATTATAACGACGGGAAAATATTCCCGTCGCTGATGGTAACGACGGGAAAATAACCCCGTCACTAATGGTAACGACGGTGATAATTACCGTCGTAGATATTAACGACGGTAATATGTTCCGTCATTATACACTCTATAACGACGGGTGGTATATCCCTTCGTGACCCTTTAGCGAAGAGGGCTTCAACGACGGGTGACGAAGGGATTTTTTCATGTCGTTAGCATACAATAACGACGGTTTTCAGCTCTTTAACGAAGGGAAATCCCTTCGTTAAAGACGTAATTTCTTGTAGTGAATAGTGAGAAATATAGGACTAAAGAATATCGTTATTTTGTCGAATTACCATACCTGCATGTGTGCAAGGTAGCACGACTACTTGCCATTCACGTACAACAAGTGTATATGCGGTCATTCAAATCTACTTCGATGGTGGGGAAATCATACACATCGTATCTTCCTGTAGTACGTAGGAGGAGTAGCAAAAAGACAACATGAATGTTGCTTATAGATATTATATGTCATATTTTGACAAACAAATTTGGAGATATGATCCATTCTCCACGAGCAAGTTAAAATCTCTTTCTCGACCTCTGCTTGGACTTGTAGCTATCCAATCATTCCATGAACTCATCTGCAGCGTGTTTTACATCAGCAACCGTGAATTTTAAGGTAAACTGGCTGCAAAATTTTGTGTTGAACCACCGAACTAAAAAGTCATGATGCTATGTAATGTAGATATGGATCGAGGGATTAATTGCACAATAAGCTTTTAGGAGGGTAATGTTTCAAAGACGGTGGTCCATGGTTCTTTTCTGCTCAATTTAATCCTCTTAGAACTTCAAAATTTTCGTTCGACCTTTCATGCTTAAATTTAATTTTTCGTCGGAGAGTTTCTTTCTTAATTTGGGGCTGTTTGGTTCCCTGTTTTTGAGGGAAGGACTATCTTAAAAGCCCGCTAAAAGTGTCACTTCTTGGCAGCTTTCAGCCAAAATCGTCTCTAAAAAAGAAGATTTTAGCTGAAAGCCTGCTAAAAAGTGGATTTGGATCCTCTCCACTACAAAAAAAATAGTGGAGGGACCACTACATAATCACAGCCATTGATTATCTAGTTGATGGTTATGATTTTTTCTTTTAGTGCAAATTAGGAATGAGTGCAATACACGGCGGTATGATAAGTGTTAGATTTAGATTGTATCATAACCGCCTACTAAATAATCAATGCTTGAGATTAAAAGTAGTGGTCCCTCCACTACTTTTTTGTAGTGGAGAGGATCCAAATCCCTAAAAAGTGATACTTTTAACACTTTTGATAGGTTTTCAAGAGAGTATTTCTCTTAAAAACATGGAACCAAACAGCCCCTTAGTGTGGTCGACAAACAAGTGCATGAATGATGAATCTGAACCCCGTGTAAAGCGTGTATAGTTTCCAACGCACAAGTGGAATAATTATATAACACCAAGATAAGAATTTAACGTCCCAGAATTGACGAAGTAATAATGAGACACTGTATCTAGCCAATTATGATCACCACTTACGTACAATCATTTTCATTAAGACGCTACACTAATAACGTGCGGCTGTCGCTAACTAAGCTAACCAACTTTCCTATTTTATAATCACGAATTTGATTATTTCGCGTACCAACAAATTAATATTTTAAAGGGGAAGAAAAGTGGTCCGTTCAAATAAAATATGAGAAAAAAAGGAGAGGTAATCGGAATATATATTAGGATTTGGCTTCGCCATTGATCGAAGTGGGAATGAGAAGAGCCGCTGATCGATCTCCGTGTTGTGTGTGTGAATGGGATATCCTGATTATATTCACGAAGTAATTAGATGTCCTCGAACTTTGTGGGAAGTTTCAAAACATTGTTATTGTATTCAATTGTAGAAGAATAAACTATTTTTATATGCATGTGATTTGGGCTGGGAGGAATCTAGTCTTAGTCTGGTTCGAACCGGAGCGTAAACCACACCTAGTGTGGTTGGATTCGGATCCTCTCCACTACAAAAAAATAGTGGAGGGACCACTACATAATCACAGTCATTGATTATCTAGTTGATGGTTATGATTTTTTTCTTTTAGTGCAAATTAGGAATGAGTGCAATACACGGGGGTATGGTAAGTGTTAGATTTAGATTGTATCATAACCGTCTACTAAATAATCAACGCTTGAGATTAAAAGTAGTGGTCTCTCTACTACTTTTTTGTAGTGGAGATGATCCAAATCCAGTGTGGTTTGGTCGAGGATGACATCATTATCTTGTTAGATAATGTAATTAGGCTATTTTATTTTCTTTTATTTTAGTTCTATTGTCGCCTAGAATTTTAGAAGTTCTCTCCTTGCTATTTATATATAAACACTTTAGTGTTATCCCTTTTCTTCCCGAAAGCTCTATTCTTATTATGAGATCAGAGCATTGATGTTAGCTCTAGAGAGACCTCTCTTTTTCCCTCGATTTCTAGCAGGCGGGGGGGGGGGGGCCCGAAACATCATGCTCTCTTCTTTGCGCAACCTCAACACCATGTGTCGACCCCGGTGCACCACCTACTGTTGTTGCACGCCTCTCCATCCGAGCCTCACATTTAAATGCCATAGCGACATTTTTCAACCACCACTCCCGACTAAGTCAGTTCCCTTGGCCAGTATCCCTCCTGCCAAGCATTTACCTCCGGCCAACAGCCTCCCCTCAACCAAGATCTCTTCGGGCTAGAAAACCACCAAACCTCTTCACTTAAAGCGTCAATTATAGTGACACCGCCGGACCATCTCCATATGCAATGCCCACTGATCCTGCTAGAACATTTCCATTTGCAATGCACACAGCAGCGACACCATCGTACCAGACTACATTGCGGCCTCACCGTCTTAGTCCACACCCTCACCGGACAACACCACAATCTTGCAGCATGCAATTCTTGTAACTGACGTGCTCCAATTCGACCATCTCTCACCAAGCCACACCAACAATTGTATATAAGTACCTTAATATAATGAATAATATTGTCTCTTTTCATCCTAAAAGCCTATTCTTATCATAGCATGACTAGAAAAGTGAGGGATAGTCTATTGGTCTGTTTGGATGGAGGGAGAGAGGGAAGGGAAGAGAAGTTTTATTTTAATATTGTTTGAGAGTTTCATTTTGGAGGGTAGAGGAGTGGAAGGAAGGAAAAATTTGACGCAAATTCTTACACCCCAAATTGGAATGTAATGGAGAGAAAGAGAAGGAAAGAAAAATTTTCCCCTTCCTTCCCTTCCCTAAGGGCTTGTTTGGATTGAGGGGTACAAGGATGAAGGGAAGTTAGAGGAACCATTCACCTTTTTTGGGAACATTTAGGAGGTGAAGTTATTCATCCTAGTTCCTCTTGGTTCATCCCCTAATAGTATGAAATTTGTTACCCTCCAAATTGGGGTGTAACCAAGGGGAAGGGAACTCCCTTCCCTTCCCTTCCATTCTCTCACCTAGTTTCTCTTAACTTCCCTTAACCCCATTGAAATCCAAACACACCCTAAGTAAACTCCCAAACACACCATATAGGTTATATGTTAGAGATTAGCTTATGCCAACTTAAGTGGATAGGAGACATTGTTCACCAAACTTTTTATCCACTCATCTTGTCTTTTTAGATTTGTGTCATCAAAAGATACACAAATCTTAAAAAACTCTTCATATCTTTCACGGATCCCGATGCAACATTAATGGATGAAAAAATTGGTGGATGACTAGCTCCTATACACTTAAGTTTTTACATAAGATTTTCTCTATAACCCCTTTAGTTTGTTTGATACTTTGATTCTTCAACATTTGCCTGTTTCATATCCAGCTCCTCCCATTTGATCACTTGAAGCTCATAATTTTTGCACTGTGATCAGAAAGGACAAGTCTCGAGCAGATTCTTCCATCACCAAATCCTATATGTTTTTCATCATGGAACCCCTCAATTCGAGGGGTTTCCATTGTCTGTAAACCTGAAATGATTAAATTGAGAGGTTTTTCCTCAGAGCCATTTCTAATATTATCATTTATATGAGATTCTGTTGCGAAAGTTTGAAAAGCTCAAAAGAATTTTGTGAGACCCCCACAGTTTGGGGGATTTT